CATACAGTTGGAATCATGTAGTATGTAGCCTTTTTAGATTGCCCTCTCTCACTTCGTTATATACATTTAAGGTTCCTCCATGTTTTGTCATGGCTTCTTGTTCATTTCTTTTTTAGCACTGAATAATATTCCATTGCCTAGTTGTACAACTGTTTATCATTCAGCTAATGAAGTCTTTCTTGGTCGCTTCCAACTTTTGGCTTCCAACTTTTGGCAAATAGCTGCTATAAATATCCATGGGCAGGTTTTTGAGTAGACATAAGTTTTCAACTCATTTACATAGTAACTTTTGTTGTCCAGCTCATCTTTTATGCCTTAAGTTTGAGGACTAGATTTGACCTTCATTTCAAACATCATTTTACATTATGCCAGAGATGATTTCACATAATTAAAATTGCCTCACATATTGCTAACTTTTTATTTAAATGATCATTTTCATGATTGTAGAGGAGGAAAGGTACACCAAAACTCTGCTGTGAGAAACCTTTTATATATACATATATGCATATATATATATATATGGTTCTTATAGTAGAGTTCTCAGGAAAGGGTTAGGGTATCAGAAAGGTTTTCTCTTTCTTTAAAAAATTTTTGTAATTTGGATCTCATATTTTCATCATGTCTAAAGCCATTTGGTAGTTATGTTTAGATAACTTGATACTGTGAATGTTCAATGCAATAATTTTATTGAAAGAGATTATTTTTCAATAAAATATATAGTAAAGGTAGCAAGGGAATACAAGTGGAAACATTAATTCTATCATGGAAAGAGTGACTTTATTGCCTGCATATTTGAATAGTACATTCTATATACCCTTTGGAAAAGGAAAAATATTGGTTCTTGGCAAGTGCCACATCTTCTTTTATGTATCTCTTCTGTTTTATATCTGAAATGTCTACTTAATATAATCAAGGGGAATAATGTGACTCAAACTTTTGTGAAGAATGAATTTAAACTACTAGTATTAAATTTTCAGTTCACAGCACACAGGGAACAAAAGATGCCACTCTCTTAGTCTTCCCCCCTCCCCCGGCTTGCATAGATAAAATAGAATACATATTTCTTTATTTTAATGCTGCCTGGCCAAAAATTTGGGAAATAAATCAAATGCTGAAATATATTAAATTCAAGGCACTGGTGAGCTATCATGGAATAGCTATAAATGTATGGGAATGAGAGGTGGAATTATTTGATTTGAGCTATGTGTGAGCTCAGTGTCTTCACCTGGAAAATGATGATACTCTTACTTACCTAATTTGTGGTGGTGTTTTTCGAGACTTAACTAGGACAATCCATGTGAAAGTAACTGTTCTCTGCTGAGAGCATGGTGGGCACTCACAGTATTAGTTCCCTCCTTTACTACCTCACAAGAGTTTGAGAAAACAGCAAGTCATCACCTTCTGTGTGGAAAGCACTACATTTAACACCATGGCAGTAGAATGCTAAATAACATTCTGGTTCTCCACGTGCAGATTATTATAACATTATAAATAGAATTAGTTGCTATTGCCCTTTTGAAGCTGTGACACCCATGACACTATAATTAGGACATACTTATGTTGAACACGGAAGCATATAAGTATAAAACCTTTGAAAATGACAGTTGTCTGTCTCATACCAGGGAAACTACTGTATATGAAGGGAGTTGCGAGACATGGAGAGGGATTGAGAGGGAAGCTAGTCAAGTGGTCAATATTAATCCATAAACCCCTAAATATTGGCTTTACTTTCCCCTCTATGAATATGTGTCTAATATGATAGCTACCAGCCACATGCAGCTCTTTAAATTTAACTTGATACATAAAATAAGTTCTCCAGTCACAACACAGTTCAAATGCTCAGTGGCCACTAGTGGTTTCCATATTAGTTAGCAAGAGATATAGAACGTATCCATTCTTACAGAAAACTCTATTAGAAAACTCTTCTAAAAGCTAAGGTCCAAATTTAGGAAGAAGTAAATCATTTGCCTGTATTTTTCTGAATTCTTGTGCCCATAATGGAGAGAATGCAATGTTGACAAGAAAATATGAGAGAAGGAAATCATAGGTAATTCATTAGGTTTTTACTTACATTGATGACCTTTATTGAATACTTAATAATAAATTTCAGTTATATGATTTAATTTGCACTTACATACACATAGCCAACGAGGTGTGCATTGTTTGCTATGTTCATTGTATAGAAGAGGAGACTGAGATGTAGACTTTAAATAAATTTCCCAAGACATCATAGCCTGAAGGTGATATAACTGAGTCTGAATTCAGGTAATTGGACTTTAGGGCCCTATCTGGTGGTTAACCTGAGAGTCAGTGGATTGAATTCAAAGCCTTTAGAAGAAAATTTGAATTCTTTCTTTTGATTTCAACCAATCTTGGTTGTTGCCTGAAGGGAATGGTGGGCACATTTTAGATTGCATAACTCTTCTCTTGTATGTTAATTAACCAATCTGTAAGTATTTTAGGGACTGTAAGTACATATCTTGGATTAATCCCACTGAGAGATACAAAGATAAACATGAGAGTCTTGATATTAGAAAATTTAATATGTATGCTATCGATTGCTTACACATAATCCCAGTGATTTATTGGTAGTAATTTCTCATTTTGCTAACACAGAATTTTGAATCCCACACCATAAAGGCTGGTGTATAATAGCAAGACTTTTGCTAGTGAGTGAGTGAGTGAGCCTAAATGTCTGCTCAATTTTAGTTCAGCATAACTGTTCTCTACTCATAATTTCATATTAAGTAACTTTAAAAACAGATGTGAATGTAGTACTTAAATTTTTAAGTTATGTTTTTTGGAATTTATGGGAAGCATTTTATGTATAGGTATGCTGTCAGTTTACTGAATTTTGAATGCCCTGGAAACATGTCCCTTGTAGATATCAGAACATGAATACAGAGAATTTGGTCCTGCCTTCAAGTTGATTTTGATCCAGTTTGAGGGGTCAAGTCTAACCATTTATTCCTTCACCTATCAATCAGTTTTTGAGGGCATAATATATAATAGCATTGTCTGGAAAAACTTTTGTGATTAAATAATCAAAGATGGTATATAATTTAAATGCTGAAGGAATTGAAAATTAAACAGTAAAGGGAAAACTAATTTGGGAAACCTATCAGGTGACCTATGTGTGGAGGTTCTCTTTTGAATTCCTGGTGAACAGACATTAGTTATATGTGATGGACTTTAAAGGTATTCTATGTGAGGGCTTACAAATCATTTGGAATAATAGGGTGACTTTTTAAAAAATCTACCAACTAAAATGTTTTGTTTGAATGAAAACTGGAAGCTCCCATTCACACTGTTTACTATTTTCTAGTCTTCAGCTGGGAGCACTCAATCTAACATCTCCAAAGCAGAAGCGAATACTCAATAAATTACCTAAATGCCAAGTAATTATTAATAAATCATTGTTACTGCTGAATTCCTCTGCACTGGGAATTCCCAAGTTATCAATAGCCAGCTTTCATTTTATTTGTCTTAAAATAATTTTCATGTCTTTCAATATGATTGCATTGAATTTTAAGTTAATACTCAGACTGTGGTATATGATATATAGATGACTTTGTAAAGACCACATGCTTGTGGGAGCAAAATGCTATTTTAATTTGTCTTCCAGGTGGTTGTTCTTGTAAGTTCTTAAAGAGTGGGCTGAAGGATTTTTGAGGGGCTTGTCACTTGTGGTTATTCTCTCAAAATGTGCCCCTTGATGGGTTAAGTGTCAAATCCATCTCTTGTTTCTCCAGTGCAATATGGATATTTTATTCCTTTTTGCCACACAGATCGTGTATCTTATGCCCTTTAGCACACCCTTAGCTGTGTCAAATATTTTATAGTTCCTAGATTATAATCTAGTTTCTGTACATATACTCATTCATTGGTTTGAAGTGGTTTCACAAGTCCTCCCCTTCCCAAGGGATATAGATAGTAGGTTTAAAATGGCTCAGTGTTTGGGCCTATTTATGTTCTTATCTTAAAGATGATCTTGGCCTTATTTACATCACAAAGTTTTACAGTCTCCTCTTAGATATCTTTTTTAGCAAATCCTTTTTATAAAATATTTTGGTTGGCATAATTTACCTATTTTGATTTTTTTTTATTTGAAAGCATTGAAAAGATACAAAAGTCACTCACAATCCTACAGGTTATATTCTATTAAATAAATTTTAGCAATCTGTAATGCTTGGTATGGTGCCAAGGGAGATTTCCTGGCTAAAATTTTATAAGAGATAGTTAATTAGAAAGTCTGTCAGGGTTCAGACCCTCCCTTAGCTTAAGCACTTTTTTATCCCAGAAGAGAAATGCCCAATGTAAATAATATCTTTCAAGGTCAAATAGCAGAGCTCAGACCAGAATTATGTAGTATTATGTAGCATAGCTATGGCTTAAGGAAAAATATTCTGGAAGAAAGAATTCAGAATGTTATTGTTAAAAGATTTTTAGTATCTCCCTTTATTGGTATTGGTGATTGAGATTTGTGATGTTAAATACTTCTGCTCTCTTTCGACTTTATAATTCTTGGGTAATTTTTATGGGATGCATGTATGTATACATGTAAGAATGCAGGTATACGTGTTATACATATATTTATATACTATATTTGTTTTTCTCTCATTCCTCTTTCACAAATAAGAAATACATTTATAAATACTGTGTGATAAATACTGATAGAATAAACATTCTAGGTGAAAAAGAAGGCCAAAAAATAATAATGGAAGAGAAAGGGAAGAGGCAATCTGAGCCAGGAAAGGGACTTATGTATATTTACTACTCGTTACTAAAAAGGTATCTGCTTGCAGGCACAGACTTTCATAGTCTCCTAAGGCCTGGTAAGTTGTATAGCATTGTATTTCTTTTCTACAGTTCTTCACAAACCTACTGATTGACATTAGGTTATTCCAAAGCATTTTGTTATAAACATAAATGTGTTTTTAATGTGTCACTGTGATGACTTTGCCAGATATTTCACCACAGTGAATTTCTTTATTTTTCAGAGTCTGCCATTGAAGAAGATTCCATGTAAAGCCAGTGCACCCTCAGGCTCCTTTTTTGCCCGAGACAATACAGCAAATTTCTTATCCTGGTGCCGAGATTTAGGGGTGGATGAAACATGTCTATTTGAATCAGAAGGTTTGGGTATGTATTTCATTCAGAATTTTAGCTGATAAAATACTCAAATTGTCTTTTATCTTTGTCCATGTAGCCATCAAAAGTTTTTTGTGTAATGTCATTTCACAGATTATTAGCATAAAAAATCTGAGTTTATTGTTAACTTGAAGGTTTACTGTAAACTTGACCCTTTGAAGATAGAAAAATGCATATGCTTTCTGTCTGTTGGTCACTTCTTGGATACATGAATGGAAACAGAAGTAGCACAATTCTTTCCAAGCTAAAAATAAGCGCCATTAGTGCAAAATTGGTGGGTATCTGGAAAACACAGGGGTAAATTTTACCAACAGGCTTAAACTGGACTAAAAGTGTAGCTATGTGTGTCCTGGCCATATAGAAAACCATTGTCTTTTCAACTTTACAAAAGTATGAAAACGCTATCTTCCATTAGTCAGCTCCATCTTTGTTGAAACTGAAGTTTATTAGTTCATTTATTTATCTATTTTTTAGTGAGTTAAAAATCTGACAAGCAGCTCAAACCATCTTATTAAAAAAAAAAAAGAAAAAAAATCTGACAAGCAAGCAAGATATTAAGATAATTGAAGATGATGAAATAAAAGACAAATACCTTAGTGCCTAGGCCTACTCAGATTACTGTAGTTTGTTTGTTTACTGGTTGAATTTTGGCAAATCCACTTCTAGATCACAGAGCTTTTGTATTTCCTTGGAAGAAAACATACATTGAAATGTTAAGTGTTTCAACACTACTTGATACCATAAGATTAAGTGTTCAAAACTCCTATAGAGTCTCTACCACAGGACAACTCTAATATGGAAAATATTAGAAATATTAAAAATGGAACCAAGTAAAGAGACATCTAGGGAGAATAAGCTTTGGTTCTTTTGCCCGAGGCTTAAAAAAATCAATTTACAAGATCACGTAATATTAACTATTAACATCAAAGGAAGCTGGACATCCTTCAGAAAGAACAAGTATACAAATCACCTTCCCAACAGTCAACATACCCATTGCCCTTAGGCTTCACAAAATAATATTCCCTTGTGAAACGTAGGAAATTGATGGTAACAGCTGAAAACTTAATCATTTTATATGCTTAAGAAAATTTGTATTTGTCTGAAGAGAAGTTGAGTGATATAGAAACAAATGCCACCAAATTTCCAAGAATTCTCTCAGCAAAGAAAAGAATAACATGAATGTAGACTGGGAGAACAGTCTAGACCTGAAAAATATACCCAGACTAAATGCATAGTAGTATGCTGTATACAAGAGTATGCTCCTGGAATTATCATTAAATAAATGAATTTTGATTGCTCTTCCATTTCCTCCCATTGAAGTGTGTGCATATAGAGATGATGCCTATTTTTCAGTTCAGTGGTGATTTTATAAATAGATTTTAACTTTCAGGTTTATAGAAAACTATGTGAGCTGAGGATTATAGGAAGGGAGTGTGGAGGAATTATTTGCAAAAACAAACCTAGGAAATGTACATTAACATATATAGCTATTAATATATAATCAAATGTTAGTCACAAGGAGTACTCACTGCATGTGTTGACACATGATTTAAAATTCTGCAATTCGCCTGAATTGCCAAAGAAGCACTATATGGGGAAACCGCTTTATTGTTTATTTGTTGATTATATAGCTTTTTATTAAAGAAGCATTTGTTCAGTGACTACTGTAGGCAAAGTGGGTTACTAAAAACTATGAGTGTAAATATGATCTTGTCTTATTTTTCTCAAGGTCTATGAGTTATTTTGTTACTTAAACTAATAAAACTTTCCAATGGACACCAAGAGGAGCCAATCGAATACTAAATTTTCTCTGCTAGAAATAGCACTATAGTTGGGGTTGTAGTGTTGTATATAATGCATATTATGTACTTTGATGGCTTTTAAAAACCCAAATAATAATAAGTAATATATTTTCAAATAATAAGTAATATATTTTATTCTAAAACTATAAAGTCTAAAGCAACTTATATAATGACCCTGGTATATAAATACTACTCAGTAGCATGTAAAATTATGTCAAGAAGAACTTTGAGATGGCCTACTGCATCCTGTTTGGAAAAAAAAACAAGACCAGGGTTATAAAAAGAAAGTCCATGATAATTTATATATTATATATACAACTATTGAATATTTGGTTTAAAAATATTTGATTTTTATTATCTTCTGTGTTACAGCTTAGCTTCTAACTTATAATAAAATTTTATTTACATATTCAAAAAGGTTTAATAAGACCAAGTTTTCAAGGCTATAAAATTTAAAAACTGTTTGCAATCTCAATACCAAACTAAATCAAATGGTTAGGCTTGTGAGTTTGCTGCACAATGAAAAAATAAATTCGAAATCTCTCCTGCTCAGAAGAGGACCTGAGGTGACGTATAATAGGCTCTGGGGATACAGTGGAAGGGGGCCAATATTATAGCATTGACTTTAGGATTAGTCAGAGAAAGGAAACAGCTGTGCCCATAGATGTTAATGATAATCAAGAGGAAGGACAATGAGAAGTTCCATTTCCGTAAGTGGAATCCTTTCTCCTTGGATTTTTCTTATTATTCACTGTGGGGTGAGGAAGCGACTGAGCCACTGCTGATGGCCTTGGATTCTGTACTTGCAGAATTGACTTTCTTGCAACAATAACACTGTGTACTCTGCTTGATGTCTTTTCACACTTTACTTTTGAAAGGGAATTTAGGGCAAGGGTTTTTTTTCTTTTTCTTTTTTTTTTTTTTAACCTCAAGATTTCATTTCAATAGCTCACAAGATGAAGAACATCCTTTGTGTCCTAGTGTTTTGAACAGCAAATAAAATGAAAAGATGCCCTGATGAAGGGGAAAAATGTGTTTGAATGGATGATAAAGTAGATCACTGTACCGAGTGTGTGTGAAGAGGCTTCTGTTTTTAGCTATTCAAAGGTCTTTGCCTGTATAAAGCATCCTTATCTTTGTGGCAACTGATATGCTACCCTCTGTTGCAGTGCTTTTTTGTACAATTATTTGTCAGAGGATCTTGATTCACAACTCACTCAATCTGTCCTCTTTCCACAGCAGCTAATGCCAAAAACATTTTAGTGGGTAGGGGAAGATGTGCTAAGGATGAACTGGGGAGTATGGAGAGCAACTAATTCCATATGCTTCTCCCATGCTTCTCATTTTTCTTTTTTTTTTGTTATTGGCAGATAAATTCCTATGCCACATACAGGATATAACCTGCAGTTTATCTTCCATGACTTTCTTGAGGGATAATTGTTTTTCTCTGGGAAATGTCAGTTCTTAGATCATATGTTCACTACATCCTGAATAATGTTTCAGAAATGAACCAATAGAAAAAATGGACAAATGTCATGAAGAACCCATTCCTAAATGACTTATAAAAGGCCAAATAAGATATAAAAATGTTGGATACCTTAGTAATAAGGTAAATGTAAATAAAACTATGAAAAACTAGCAAAATTAAGAAAATTACATATTTAGTGTTGGTGTATGTATGTAGAGAAACCGGATCTTTTATACATTGGTGAAGAAAATTGAAAATTGATAGCTTTCTTTGAATAGCAATTTGATATTATACATCAAAGACCTCAGAAGTGTTCATATATTTTGGTTAAATTGTTCTGCTTCTAAAAATATTTCAGGAGGAAATTAGAGTTATGTTCTAGAATATACATTGAAATATTTTTTAAATAAAAATAACAAAAATCTGTGATATTTGGTAGTAGCTTAAATAAACTATAGTCATCCATAGATAATACCAACAAAAAATAATATTCTTGAAACTATTTAAGCACATGGGAAAATATGAGATACTATGAACATAAAGTCATACATTTATGTCCAGTATATAAAAATAAAGTTCCATATTCAGAATTTGAAAGAAAAATAAGCAATAATTGAGTTGTAATATCATTTTCTTCAATGCACTTTATGTAGTAAACAGTTAACAGCATGTAATCTGAAATGTGAACAATTAATTTTTTATATTAAGATGCAATTGGACCAATTTGCATAGATAATTATGTATTGACATAAAATTTTTCACATCATCATATTATAAAGGAGGTTAAACTGATACTTCAAGTGACCATGGAATTGTATAGCGCATAGTAACAGATCACAAAGATTTTTGCATCTCTGGAGCATATTCCAACCTAAGGGTCTACATGCAGCGCTCACCCTGACCCCTACTGTTCAAACCACGTTTACCTATAAGTCAGTGACGGGAGGAGATTTCCTTTTTCATGATTCTGATTTATTAAGATTCATAATTGGTTTTATTGAATTCCTTCAAAATATTTAGGATTGTGCTTTAAGTTAAAAAGATGAGCATAATTTTTTTTTAATTTAAAAGTATGTAATTGATCAATTTTAAAACAGTCTGCCAATAATTGCTTTAAAAGAGATGAGCTTCTTTTGATGGCGAGTTAAAAAATATTTAGAAGGCTCTAGGTGTGAAAGTACTTATTTTTTCAATTTCACAGAGATGTAACAGTTATTAGACTATATTAGTCAATAATCACCCTAACAGTAAATTTAATAATTTTTCAAATGTTCATTTAAATAATTTAACCTTTTCTAAAATAATTTTGAATGTTTTTATATGGCTCATCTTTACTATTGAAATTAAGATCAGAAATCTATAATTTATTTTCAAGCTTAAAAAGAGTCATAAGGTTGATGCTTTTACATTGTAAAGGCATCCTTTTTTCCTAAATTAGTGATAGTCTTATTTGTGTTGTTTATTATTTGTAATTTACATTGGCACACCAATTTAGAAAATGTCAAGTTAATTTAATTCTTTCCAGAGCCATGTTTATTTTGCTTTATATGTATATATTCTGGTGAGCTGGGAGATGGAAAAAAAAGGAGGTGGTGGAAATACTTTAAAAATACACACTTTTTTGCTTGATATAATTGTGTCAATATCATTATGTTATTGGATAATTATAGGATTTGGAGGCCACTGACTTTTCTTCACCTATTTCTCTGAGAAAGAATCTA